CCGCCCCCTTACCAACCCCCCCCCCCCCCCGCTCCCCCCCGGCTGCCGCCTTGCCTCGGCATAGACCTGTTCACCCGTGGTATCGACATCCAGTCGGTCAACGTGGTGATCAACTTCGACTTCCCCAAGAACGCTGAGACCTACCTCCACCGCATTGGCCGCTCGGGGCGTTTCGGACACCTTGGCCTGGCGATCAACCTCATCACCTACGAGGACCGTCACAACCTCTTTCGCATCGAGCAGGCCAGTGTTTTAATTTCGCGCACAGAAGCAGGGGCGGTCATTGCTGTTTATGTTTTGGTTGCTGTTGTTTCACGCGAAGGGTTTTATTGAAGTGTCAGCAGTAGTTGTGTCGTGGTCGTTGGTGGTAGAACAATACCCATCTGATTGTAGCGCTTCGTAACTCGACCCGCTCTCAGAGGGCAAATGGCTCATGATCGTGTACACGACCTCTCTACCCAAAGCAGAGGGCACGTTAATAATACCAAACAGACCCCATCATGTTGCGGGTCGTATGATCCGGAGAATTTGGTTCCATGGTGTCGGTCGTTTGTTCGATGGTTGCATCCGTGGGTCCCTGTTGTGGTGAATCTTGTTCTCGAGTCTCATTGTTAGGTGTGTCGTCCTTTGTGGCTGAGGCTTCATGTTCATGTCAAGGGCGTTGTCCTCACAGTGCCCACGGTTGTCGAGTACTCCACGAGTTGGTGGTGTTTGTCCATGCGAAATTGTAAATTGTTCGTACCTGATGTCTCCCCTCACCGCTTCACCTTAGGGTGGCGTTACCTTTGCTTTCTCAGGCCTCAGTTTTGCAGTTGAAGCGTGGGCGGGTAAGGCGCTCGTAGTAGTTGCTTCTGTTTCGATTCAGACAAAACACGTGCTACCAAGCATGACTGCTGCCGCCGTCCCCCCTTCGTCGTGTCCTCCCCGAATCCCGCAGGAACTCGGCACGGAGATCAAGCCCATTCCTGCTGTCATCGACCGCGACCTTTACTGCCGCTGAGATAAACAAAAAAGCGCAAAAATGGCGTGACCGCTTCTGTCCCTCCATCAAACCTGCGAAGCATGTCTGGGACCTGTTGAAAGCCCTTCTGTTGGTGTAAAAGAGGAGCGTGAACGAGGTTTTTGGTTGGCCGGATTGAGAACGCTGGAGGGGGCGCCTCCAAGAGAATTGTTTATGATACTTTGTTTCACGCTGTTGTTCCACGTTGCAGGTGTGTGTGCTTGACGTGATGACACAAAGGCTAGCAATACGGTGTTGGTGCTTTCTACCAACTTGCCGGACGGCAGGACCCCAAAAGTCGAGGGGAACGTTCAGCGCGGACGAACTAGGAGACCTCTCATGTACAATATCCGACCTTGTTGGTGTTCGGTGGTTGTGTGTTGTGCTTCGTTGCCCCCGTGGTGTGTCGGTGGGGTGGGCGCTCCTGCTTTTTTGGCGGTAGTGCTGTCCGGTAGGTGGTGTGTAGCGTTGTGGACAACCAAGTGGGTTTCGAGGTCGGTGTCGACTGTGGGAACGGACTACGCGTGCGAAGCGGGGTCGCCGCTACCACCAAGCGCGCTTCGCTCGACGCTGTTTCCTTTTCGCTACAAGATTTCCAATCGAAACAAGGGTTTTGCCGATTTCGTGGAAAGGACTTGATTCGAAGCGCGGCGCACCAACGGTCAGTTTTTTAACATGTTTGTTTTTGTCAGAAACGACGAACGTTGACCATGTTTCCTCCACCGTGTGTCGTACGTGAAACGTTCGGAAACTACGTTGCTCCCCTCCGTGCCATGAGTGTTAAGGATGGGCAGGTTGTTGGCGGGTTTCGGTCGGTTGTTACCCCACCGCAAAATCGATCGCCATGACCTGTAGACCAGGGAGGGCGAGGCAGCGCTCTGAATGGCGGTGATGGGCAAGCGGAGCTGCCGTTTCATGTGGTACGGGAACCCCAACCTTGTCGTGAGTTGAAAAATGACTCATTTTGTTTTTCGGTCGGCTGGCCCTGATGCGGACCTTTTCGTTTTTGTTGGGCTGGCTATTTGGGGCATTGATTGCTCACAGCCCTTCGTTAGCTTCCGCCGTGGAATAGTTCATGATCCAGGAACGTTCGCCTTGCTGTTTTACCCCGACCCCAATCTATTTTGCGGTCGGTAAACCTCCCGCTCATAATTGGCGGGCCATGATGGTGGTTTGAAATCCCCCCTCCTTTTTCCAACTTCAACTTCGTCCCTGGACTGGGAATGGACCGATTAATGTTGAGGTTTGAATGGAGGGTGTTCGTAAAAACGTGGATGGGGATGTCAAGGAAAACGCCCCGGCGTTTTGGCGTGGAACGCGACTGACGCAAAGTACTGTCTGCCAATGTACTTAGTGTTGCCCCTATTCGAGGCACAATGAAGAAATGTTTGGCATATGGGCAATGTCAGTGCTTGCGAGGTGGGTTTTTGTCAAAGCCTGCCCGCGTGACACCGTTGGCGAAGCCACTGAGCCATTGAGCCTTTCGCTGCTTTTCTGCCGAAGATTAGAACAGCCATGACTTTCGGGAGCTGGGGGGGGGGGGGGGGGGGACTCATAGTCGTGCATGCCGTAGTCGTTAGACCATTGACCTCGCATCCCTACAAAGCCGGGACGGAGCACGCCGGGTTCTCACCGGACCAGGCTCTCACATCACCAAGCGCGAAGCGCCGTGAGATACTCGGTGAGTCGCATGAAGGGTGCGCTGCATCCTGCCAAAGGTGTTCGGCATCTTGTGCTTACTTCCTTGCGTACGGAGGACAGCTGCGTATGAATTAGTTTATTTTCTGGTGCTTTCACTTCCAGAGACAGTTGTAAGCACTGTGTAACTGCCTCGAGGGTGCTTGACCATTGTAACACAACGTGGTGCGATCATCCCCCTTGCGCGGAGCGAGGGTTCTCCACCCCGCACAACATGATCTACTCGACCACCATTATGGTTACCGCCAAAAAAAAACCGGAGGTAAAAAAAAAACGGTGACCTGGTTGCCGAGTTCACGAAGTGAATTGGCTTGTTTCACAAGGGTAGTTCTATTTACGTCAGCGGTGGCGTTATTTCTTAAATACGTCACCGCCCGTATCTCAGCCCACAGAGCTTCAATTGGCACAAAATGAGTTGCGTTGTGTAGCTATGACCCACATCAATCATACAAGCCAATTTGAAGCAAAATTCACTCGGTAAAGTGGTAATTTTCAAGGACCCGATTTTTGTTGTCCCTCCATAACTTTTGACTGAGAGCGAGTAAAAGAAAAAGAAAAACAGCTTCGGAACGCCCGCGGCAAGGCGCAAAAGAGTAGCGAGTCGCCAAAAAAAAAGGAAAAAAAGCGAAAAAAAAGAAAAAAAGATGCTCGCGGCGGGTCTCGAACCCTCGAAATTGGCCCTAGTTCAACTTTTCCCCCATATATGTTGCAATCCTTTTTTTTTTTCGCACCAAACCACCCACACGTGCACAGGAACGCCCTCAAACACTATGCAAATGTCTCTACCGCACCTTTAGCGTACATATATCACAAAAATTGGCCGTTTTCAACAAAAATGTTCCATTTTTGTACAACATTTTCACCAGAAACACGGAAAAAACTGGACAAATACAGCTCAATGAACAAGAATGCGCCATCGACTCTACGGCCTCCATTCCTTCGGGGTCGGGCGCCTGTCTGTGCGACCTGTACTTCTTGTACGTCTTCTTGTCCTCAGGCCCTTGCANATTTTTGTACAACATTCCCACCAGAAACACGGAAAAAAACTGAACAAATACAGCTCAATGAACAAGAATGCGCCATCGACTCTACGGCCTCCATTCCTTCGGGGTCGGGCGCCTGTCTGTGCGACCTGTACTTCTTGTACGTCTTCTTGTCCTCAGGCCCTTGCACACGCGTCTCGCGGTTCATGGAGGGCGTGTGTGTACGCCTTCTTGCAGTAGCCCTGGACTACCGAAACAGCCTGTCTATCCTTCTCTGGTCTAAAACTCAGCGGCACGTTCTTGCGCAAGCATTCCAATGAATATTTGCAGTTCTTTCGAGTCCAGTCCTTCGCTCGGCCCCAAACAAGCTCGATGGGGTTACACTCGCAGTGGTACTTAGGAAGCATGAGACAGGTCCCCCCGTGGCGCTGCATCAACAGCACCAGACTAGAATAGACTAGAATCAACTTCATTGAAGTCCTTCTGCTCTCCCAAAACGTGCTCCATGCTCTTGCTGAGGTCCTGCTTTTCGCCCGAGCCCCCCGTCTTACTCATGCCTTTGACCAGGAGCCCCCTCTCCCACAAAATCTGCCGCATTCCTTTCAACTTTCCGACATATTGCGCCGGCTTGAGATGCGGGGAGTGGAAGTGTGTGATAAAGGCTTACCCCATTAGACTACTAAGTCAGCGCTGACTGAGTAGTCTAATGGGTAAGCCTTTACTATCANTCCATCGGCGCAAGCTCTTCTCCGTTCCTCACACCACCAACACCCAAGTTTATTCTCTTCACCGACGGTGCGCCGACCTCCATGCAGTCATGGCAGGACGGCCAGTCGAACAGGCCTACAGGCTTGTGCTCAGGGTAGAGAACTGTGAACATGTCGAGCACGTCTGACATGTGGTCCAGCATCCTGAGCCCGGTCCAGTATCCCTCCTTGTTCTTGCCGTACTCGAAGAGGTGGTAGGACCAGTACTGTCCATGCTCGTCTTCATGAAGCATGTCGATGGGGCGGAACTTCTCCACCTTCACGTTTTCCCCCCGTCGCTTCGCGGCAGCTGAGGCGGCGCATCGTTTCCTGCGGTTGCGCTCCGCGTCCTGGATCTGTGCCCGCGACGCCGAGAAGAAGCCAACGTTGTGGATTATCGTCCCCGACACCATGATCCCCTGGCCTTGTGACTTCTTCACGGGCACATGCTGGCCGTCCCGATACCACGCGCGCCTCTGGTCGTCGTTGGCTGCAAATACAAACAAGAAACCGACAATTTAGGGGCGGCAGATGTGGCGCTGTCAACATGTGTGATTAAATTTAAAGTCCCACAATTGAATTGCGAGCAAGATTACTGTTCGCGCCCGGAATTTACACCTCAATTATCAAACCCGCTTTGCTCCGTTTAAAACTAACCTCGAAAAATGCTCTCGTCCTGGTAGAGAAGCATGGCCCGCCTCCCGTCAGGGTAGGTTTTCTTGCTCTGCACTCTGGCTTGCAGGTCTTCGGGCAAGTCTGCCAGCGCAGACTCGAGATCATCGACACAAACCCAGACACCACCATCCGGCAAGCGCTCGGTCTCCTCCACCGTCTCGACGTCAACACCCCAGACGATCGCTTCATCCTTGCCCTTCGGAATCCATACCTCCATGTAGTCACGGGTGTCGAACAGCGCCGGGAGGAACTCGTCGTGCCGGTATTCAAGGGTCTTCTTGTCTTCGTGATCCCCAGCGGCTCCGCCATTTCAACTCAGTATTGTTGGCTCGCGACCTTGAGTGCAGCACTCACCGATACTTTCGTGGCTTCTGTCGCTCGATGCTGAGCTTGTCGCGCAGCGTGTATCCGTCGGGAACCAACTGCTGCAGGCAGGAGACCCTCTCTTGGTCGAGTTCCATTTGGTCGCCGGTCTTCACAACAACATGTGTACACCTACCGGCGGCTGTGTGCGACGCGGCCCAAGCGGTGGGTCGGCCGCGATTTTTTTGAAATTTGAAACATGTTTATTTCTGTCTAGGGCCTGTCAAAAAAGAGTTCTGAACCAGGTGATTTAGAACCAGTTTGTTTCAAGGATTCCAAAAAAATATATATATTTTTCACAGCGGTGGTGGGGGCACGACAAATCGTAATTTACCGGTTCCGACGCGTTTTTGGTGAAACGGTATATTCGGCATAACTCGTCACCAAGGTGTCTGTGAAAGCTAAAAGTGGGTTCATTCGAAAGCCCTGGTTCATAGCTTTCGAATGGTGTACATTTTTGTTGGGTAAATAACCAGGCCCTAGAGAGAAATTTATCAAGTGGCCTGTGGGCGGATCCATGAAAACTACCACTTTAGTTGGAGAGGCATGCTCGAAAAAGGGGTCTCAGCGGAATCAAACGGTGGGCACCAACCACATATTCCACCGTAACTCCGCGGCAAGAGCTCCAATCGACGTCAAACAAACTGTGCTGGTTGACTACACTCCGTAGCCGTCGTTCAAGCCGTCGGGAACGTCCATCCGACCAGTGGTTGCCGAGGTATGCTCCCCCACGGGGCACTGTGGCGCCGTAGGGCGGTGGCGTAAATAAGCTTATATACGACACCGCCCGGATCTCAGCGCACAGGTCGTTAAATGACACGCGACAACGTCCGCTGTGCTGGAACGATTCCCCGCTTTTGTTGAGGCCATCGGGAACGTCCATCCGACCGGTGGTTGCGGAGATATGCCCTCCCACGGGGGCAAGGTGGCGCCGTAGGGCGGTGTCGTAAAAAGCTAGTATACGAGATCGCCCTTTGATCTCAGCGCACAGGTCGTTAATTGACACGCAACAACGTTCGCCGTGCTCGCACGAGTCCCAGCTATCGTTGAAGCCATCGGGTACGTCGATTCGACCAGTGGTTGCCGAGGTTTGCTCTCCCATGGCGCCGTACGGCGGCAGGCCTTTTGGCCTGGGGTCGGGCTTAGGACAAGATTTCGCTGATTGAACTGCATGTGTCCACCTGCTTTCATACAAGTATCCAGGAAGTTACCCTCGATCAGTTTGGGGTTGGTCGCGAATAGTTCCTACACGGGACGCGGCAAAACCTAAGGCGTGGGTGGCGATCGTTCCTTTTTTTGCAGGCCGTGTTGGGTGGAGAAGTACCACGACATTTGGGTGTTCCAAGGGCACGAACGCAGGCCCACGAAGATTCATTTGTACCGCAGTCTTAGGCCAAATGCCAACAACGAAGAAGATGGCGGTCAGTTTGTCCAACCGGGGTCCTTGCCGGGGAGTGTGTGTGCGTGGACGTAGGAAGATGAAGAGATACGTGTTGCTCGGTGAAGAGGATATTTCGTGATGATGTGTGTGCGAATCCGTGCTGTTGCCGATAACTCACCCGGGCACTTGGTCGACCGAGTGCCCGGATGTTTATCGTTCGTGGGATTTCATTCCCGTGCGGCCTAACATCGCAGATATGAACGTCAACACATTTTCTATATAGTCCTTGCCACAGATGCTCCCACAACATATCTTCCTCCGAACCATTGCGACGTCAACGACCTGCGAGGAACCCCTCCCCCCTGGTAGG